GACCAGATCTGACTTCACTGGAATAAGATCGTGAGATTCTTGAGGACAGGGACCATCTTTTACCTCTTTTTTGTTTCCCCAGTGCTTAGCACAATGCCTGGTACACAGCAAGTGCTTAATAAATGTGTAATGAGAGGCAGCTAGGTGGCGCAGTGGATAAAGCACCAGCCCTGAAGTCAGGAGGACATGAGTTCAAATCCGACCTCAGACCAAACACCTGACACTTAGTAGCTGTGTGACCCTGGGTAAGTCACTTAACCTCAATTATGTTGAAAGAAAGAATCAAAGTCAAAAGAATGAAAATAGATGAAAATGTGAAATATCCTATCAGAAAAACAACTGACTTGGAAAGCAGATCAACGAGAGGCAATTTAAGAATGATTGTACTACTAGAAAGCCGTGATCAAAAAAAAAACAGACATTTTTTTTTAAAAATGTGTAATGACTGACAATAAGGCACTCCCAAATAAAGAAACTCCCTCCACCAGTGCAGATAGGTACCTTCTCTGCAACTCACTATCTTAGAAAGTCATTCAGACTACTGAGGTTAAATGACCTGTCCTAGGTTACAAAGGCCTTCTATTTCAAAAGCAGAACTTCAGCTCAAGTTTTCTTGCCAAGTCATTTTAAAACCATTTGCACTCCAGTCCTGTTCAGACTCTGCCCCTGAGCTCTGAAGGGTAAGCTCTCACCTTTTCTTTCCACTGGAATGACACCACTTCTGGCCATTTCCACTCAACCCCAATTTCCAACTCTGGCTCCCATTTATGTACTGTCTTCCTCTTTTAGAATTTAAGTTCCTTGAGGGCAAGGACCATCTTGCTTAAATTTATGTATATCCCCAGCACTTTTCACAGTGCCTTATATGTACAAAGTACTTAAATGCTTTTCTATTCATTCATTATAAGGCAGGCTCTCTATCAAATATGCCACACTGCCATTCATCTCTAAGTTACTGCTATAAAACAGAACCTATATTTTTAAAGTTTCATAAAATATTAAAGCCTGTAGTTATAATTTGCAAATGATTTGGTTTTTTTTTGATCAATCGGTAAGAAACACTAACTATATGCAAAACATAGAAATATCAGTTCAAACCTGTGCTTTTTGTTAGTTTTCCTCTTACTTTTCCCCTCCCCATACCCTGGAACTCCTTGGGCCTCTCTGCCTTTACTTTTCACTAGTAGCTCTTCCCCGATGTCAAAGGATGGACAAGGGAAGGCAGACACCCTCTTATTCCCCATCACTCCTTCCCTTCGACCCTACTCCATCCCAGTCAACACCTGCCATCTGCTCAAGTTCTAACTACATCAGAAGATCCTCTCCTCCACTGTCAGTTCAGCAAACAAAGGGTACAGCAGGACCTTGGTCAGTGTGATCATACAGAAAGGACTATCCTCTAATATCTGGCTCATCAAGTTAAACAGCTGGATCATGCTCCAGGGAGTTATGCAGCACATAACTCTTCCTATCCACGTAAAGATAAATAAGGCAAGTTTCCTGCTCTCAAGAAACTAAAAACTGAATGAAGAAAAAGACAACTACACAAATTAATATAGAATGAGAAAAATGCACATGAGAGGTATAAAGTGCCAGCAGAGTTAGCAAAAGGAAACCTGAGACTTTCAATAGAGTATCAAGAAAGACTTCAGAGAGAAGGCAGCAGTTTAACTGGGCCCTGAAGGACAATAGCATTTTAAAAGGAAGTATATGTTGAATGAGGGCATTTTAGGTGTAAGGAACAATGTAAGCAATAAAACAAAGGTGGAAGAGTAGTCTTCAGAAAACTACAAGTACTTGAATTTGGCTGAAATATAGGGTACATAAAGGGGAGAAATAAAAAGCTGGAAAGGTGGAATCATAGATTTCAGGCTGAAAAGGGAACTTCAAGGACATCTAGTCAAAGGATCTCATAGGATCATAGGTCTAGAGCTTAAAGAGATCCCTGAACACCTATTTCAACCACTTGTATTTCACAGATGAGGAACCTAACCCCAAAGATGTGTAAGTGACTTATCAACCAACAAGCATTTGTTAAGTGCCTATGTAGTAGGCACTGCTTTGCAAGTGCTCTGCAAAACTTATACTATAGGCTGATGTAAGTCCATATCTGACCATATCTGACTAGGAAGTAAAGAACTGCATAAATATAAGTGGCAGGCAAAAAGAGAAAGACATACCTATACACAGATTTCGTACAGGCTGAGAGATCTAACAAATTACCTTTCTTGGGTCCAATGGCTACATTTATAGAGTCATAGAATTTGTAGCTTAGTCCAATATCCTTATTTTATAAATGTGGAAATTGAGATCCAGAGAGGTGACATGACAAATAATATGTAGCAGAACTGGAATTCAACCTCAGGTTCTCTGACTCTTAAATTCAGTGCCCATTCCTCTACATCAAGAAAACGTGAGATGCTGCCAAACAACAACAAAAAACCTAAATTCATTAATCCAGTTAGAGTTTTCTAAACCAAATGTTAGCTTAGAAAAAAGAACCATCATGAGTGTTTTGGAAATGAAAACAACTGTAACCACTTGATTTATTTGTGTGGCTAAAAATTCAGCACACTCCAGGGAATAGGTAAAAGGGCCACTGCTTCTCCCTGAAGTGTAGGTCACCCCAAAATACATGATGCTGACTAGTACATGCCAGCAAGGGATGCTTCTGGTCTGCCTTCAGGTCTGATTCCTGAGCTTCTGGGACTGCCATACTTTGATGAACATGAAAGGACTCCCAGTTAAAGTTGTGGTTAGTTATACCCTGCTGTAAACGTTCTGTGGTTAACAGATTTATAACTACTTCACCCATTCATTTCAGGTTAGGAACACTCGGAAATGCAGAGCAGGAATAGGCCACACCCAGCAGAAGCCCATATGGCCCTGATATAAATCTACTGCATCATTCAGGGCACTAATCCTATATGCCTCTTTTAATGATACTGACTTTACAAGTCTTATAAAACTGTGTGTTTCAGCTAATGTGCTCCTGCCACTATCTGATTTATGATGGTGTGTGTGGTCCAGTAAATATGCCCTTTGGTTTATTCATGTCCTGATGCATTCTGAATTATTGTCTGTCTATTTGTGTGTTCTTTCTCTTCCCTCTTGCCCAGATCAAAACAGTTTCTAACATGTAAAAGTCAGTAATTTCTTCAAAGTGATTACAAAGAAGATCTAAATGTCCAAAAAGGGGCATGTCATACCACTAGCAAAGTTATTCGGGATTTTACTAGGATGGATAACTTTTCAACCCAGCTTGCTGCTTTGTTTCAGTTAAGCTGATAATATCTTCCCTTATGGCTAGGGGCTCTTAACCATGGGTCCATGCAGTCGTTTTTCAAACACTTTGATAGCTGTATTTCAATTGATTTCCTTTGTAATCCTATGTATTTTATTATATATTTTAAAAACATTATTCTGAGAAGGGATCTACCGGCTTCACAGACTGACTTACTCAGAAAGTCCATGACACACAAAAAAAGTTAAGAACCTTTCCTTCAGATCTTTATGATAATTTGTACTAATAATCTGCCACTTGTTGTTAATATCATTATAGTGCCGCTATAATAGGCTATCAGAGCTTAAAACTGAACAACCTATGTAACAGATTAAATTGGTACCATGGACAGAGAGCTGACCAGAGTTGAGAACACTTGGATTCTAGTACCACCTCTGAAACATAGTGTCTGTGCAACCCTTGCCAAGCATCTTCACCTCTCAGTGCTTTAGGGAACTCTTTAAGAATAAAAGTTGCAGAAAAGGTGATGCCCCTCAGTGGTAAAGGTGGTTTTCTCTATCAATGAAACCACAGGTTCAGTCCCTATCCCTATAGTACCACTATATTTTCCCTTCAACAGGTGATTAAGAATATGCCACATTTGATTTTGTCACCTCAAAAAAATTCTTCATAGAAATAATATAACCTGCAACTTAATAGTATGTAGGAAGTAGAACTTGACTGCAAAAGTCTGATTTTTAGGTAATTTTCCAGAATCATTCACAAAAGTCAATGTGCATCTGATTTTGGAATGCTTCCTGAAATACCTTACATCACTTCTGTCTTTGCTTTTAGCAGCAGCAGATTTGCCTTTCCAGCTGAAAACACTCCTCTTCTACCACAGTACCAAATATCCCTTGTATGAACATGCAGAACACTGCATAGTCTGAGGTATTACTGCACTCTCCGTAGAAAATAAAAGATTTCAAATGTTTCCTCTACTTTTGGGGGACAAAGTGCAGGATAGCTGAAGAGCACTCTATTTAGCTTCAGGGGACCTATGTTTAAATGGTAGTTCTGTCACTTATTACCTATGTTCCCTCTCTGGGCCTCACTTTCTTCACCTATAAAATGACTTAGATAATCTTAAAGATCCCTTTGAATTCTAAAATCCTAGCATCCTAAGGGGAGAAAAATTTCTCTCAATTTATATTTTACAAAAATAAGATATATAATTTATTTTATTCACTAGGAAAAAATATACCCAAAACAACAAAATCACTGCTTATTACCCAGAACAAAACTGAGACTCACGAGTATAATTTGTACTGTAAGGATTTCCTTGGATTCTTTCCACAGACCGTGAGTGAAATGCAAGTTAAGAAATGAGTTCAATATCAATGACACAGCCTGAGGAGTCGAATTCCATCAGATGCCTGATACTGTCATCATGATCACTGAGGATGGTTTGTAATACTTATTGCATCAAAGTGACAGTAAGCAAAATCCACTTTAATTAGTGGTATTTGGAAATGAAAGATCATATGAAAAGAAGAAAGGGAGGCAGTGAGGAAGGAAGACAGCCGGGAAGTGGTATAAAGGTCTGGTTCTCAGTAAGATGAGACTAAAGTTTACCTATTGAAGCTAGGTGACCCAGAAGCAGAGAGGATTAAAGTTAGCATGCAGCATCAGAAATAAGTTCATATAAAGAATCTGCGAGATGTGTCCTGTGGTTGGAATCTGGTGAAAATGAATGCTCCAAAGGGTTAAACAATACCTCAGCTCCACCCATCCACTTTGGCTCATCAGGAAATTCAGCACACAAAACATCTTCCGCTTGATCAGTCCCCAAAACATGGTAGAATAGCTTCTGGTGAAGATTTGTGGATGTCTCAGTGCCTGAAAGAATTAAGTAATTCAGTTTCAAGCCATCATCTATGATCTATTCTATTCATTCCAGATAATGCCCTACATTTAGAAAGCTGAGTAATGTGTCTACCACTATTTTCTGCCCATAGATAGGAGTTAGCCCAGACATTATTTATACTTAATTGCTGAGTGTTATGAAATAGCATTTAGCCTAATACTTTTTATTCTACAAAAATAGCAACCCTACCTGTTAAATGAAAATAAAATTGATGTAATATCCTCACATAACCAACTTGTGGTTTATGTGTTCCATTCCGGACATTTGTAATAAGACCACTTACAGCACTGCCTTTGGTATTTCAAAGAACCCTGCCATCTAACAGCATGAAAATGCATTTGAAGTACTTTTGATAAATAGTACAGCCTAATCAGGAGTAGAAAAGGACACCAGCATTCTCAAGCTCAATCATCACTAACCATCATTATTACTGTAATGGAAGATTAAGAGTAAATAATAACTGCTATTCTTTTCACAATTACAAAATCATTCTGTGCAACAGACCATATGCCAACTACACACATTTGATATAGCTAGTAATTTCTAAATTTCCAACATCTCTTGAGCACTTTGCACCCCTAATATGGGTAACTGTTGCATAGCAACCAACCATCTTACAAGCAACATGCTTGTCCTGCTGCCCAATGAGCTCTCTTTTACTTCAAAGACAGCCTTTAGACAAAGATGTTGCAAGAATCCAACCCAGAGAAAGTAAAAGCTGAAAGCAAAGGAAAAACACTTGTGATACTCATGGTCAACATAGCTGGAAAAACCAGTGATTTCTGAAACATGACAAGGGTACAACTTTCACTGCGACAGTTCCTCCTCTCAAGAGGTAATAAGCAAGCCATGATCCTTCCTCATTGCAGAAAGAAGAAAAGGAAGAGTAGGTTAAGTCTACTTGAGATGATGACATTTCATATTATCTTCCTAACATATTATAGGTATGCTGATGTTCAAAGAAGAGCAGGTAAAGACATGCTGTAAGGAACCTCTATAACATACTTGCCTCCAGCAGTGCCACTACCAAAATCAACACTAAACAATGCAGAATTTTGTATCAAAACTCTCCTGGGCAGTATAACTGGTGCTCTGGGAAATGCTACCCTAGACTGAAGCTTGGAAGATACTTGGGTATTTTTGTCATCAACTGCTCCAAAAAAAGCCTCCTTTTGTGATGTGAATCATTACCACCATGATCTTACCATCACTTTTTCCATCCTGTTTAGGATAGCAGTTGTAGAACATCCCCTTTCCATCATGGGTCCAAGCCATGCAACTGAACTTGACTCTTTCTAGAACATCTGGAAGATCCTTGGGTCCATCAACTTTCATAAATTTGATAGTTACCCAGTCCGAACCACTGGAACTTAGCCCATAGGCAAAATATTCACCATCTTCACTGAACGCATAGCCTGTGGGATTATGAGGAAAAAAGTCAGCAGAAGAACACAATATTGTTAGCATTTTTCAACATTCCCTTTGCCCTCTGAACCAAAACATTTTCCTATTACTGGTATCTTTACATTGATCTCAGATATAAAATACATATTTAAAGTAAAATATTTCTAAGATTTTTTTTAGTATCTTTTATTTATACTGTAAAGGGAATAAGATAACAGCTGTGGAATTAATGAGTGAATTGTAATGCATATCAAACAAAAGAAACTATTTGTAGCTACTGGGTAATTTGGAGAATGGATTGCAAACTGACTGAGATCTTTCTTCACAACATGATTTCCCTGAGCATTCAAACATTATAAAAGTCCAGGTTTAAATCAAAAACAAACATTTAAATGGTGTTCATTCCAAATGGAAAAAAGAAAAGAAAAACATCATTGTTTGCTGGTTGATGGTACTATGGCTAGTTTTTTAAGATCATGGGAAGATAGAAAAAGCCAATCAATGAAAAAGTGTGTGCGTATGTCTGTTTAAATGCTCCTTGAGGGCATTTTCATTTTTATCTTAGCATATACGGTGTCTTGCACAAGTAGGTGGTTAACATCTATTGAACTGAATTGTAACTTTTTCTTTCAGTTTTCATTTAATTTTAATGGTTAATAACTTGAAGTATATATTTATGTTAATATATAATTATAATGATATATAACATAGTATATAGGGGAAAGCTACCACAAAAAAATTTATGGTTTCAGACATTTTGTATATTTTTACATTGACTTTCTGGTCATGAGAAGCTGACTTAGTTGGAAAGGAAAATTTCACCTTCTAAATGATCTCTGCTATACACTGTTGGTAGGAACACGGGCATATCAGTAGACACTCCTTTTTTTTTTGTTACAATCGAGCAACATAAGCTTTGTTATTTCTAATTTAACATTCCATTCCATCTCCTGATTTCATGCCTTTCCTTTTTTTTTTAAATTTTAAATTATTTTATTTTGAATTATCAACAATCACTTCCATAAGCTTTTGAGTTTTAAATTTTTCTCCCCTCCCTCCCCACCTCTCTCCCCAAGACGGTGTACAATCTAATATAGGCTATACATATACATTCCTATTAAACATATTTTCACATTAGTGATGATGTTGTAGGTAAGAATTAGAACCAATAAGAGGAACCACCAGAAAGAAGAAACAAAACACAAGAGAAGAAAAAAATAGCAAATAGTATGCTTCAACCTGCATTCAAACTCCATAGTTCTTTCTTTGGATGTAGACAGCATTTTCCATCACGAGACCTTTGGAGAGGTCTTAGATCTTTGTATTGCTAAGAAAGGTTAAGTCTATCAATACTAGCCATCGCACAATATAGCTGCTATTGTGTACAATGTTCTCCTGGTTCTGCTCATTTCACTCAGCATCAGTCCATATAAGTCCTTCCAGGTTTTTCTGAAGTCTGCCTGTTCATCATTTTTTATAGCACAATAGTATTCCATTACATTCATATGCCACTTGTTCAGCCATTCCCCAATTGATGGGCATCCTCTCAATTTCCAATTCTTTGCCACCACAAAAAAGAGCTGCTACAAATATTTTTGTACATGTAGGTCCTTTTCCCATTTGTTTGATCTCTTTGGGATACAGCCCTAGAAGTAAGTGCTACTGCTGGGTCAAAGGGTATGCACATTTTTGTAGCCCTTTGGGCATAGTTCCAAATTGTTCTCCAAAATGGCTGGATAGTTTCACAACTCCATGAACAATGCATTAGTGTTCCAATTTTCCCACATCTTCTCCAACATTTATCATTTTCCTGTTTTGTCATGTTGGCCAATATGATAGGTATGATGTACCTCAGAGTTGCTTTGATTTGCATTTCTCTAATCAATAGTGATTTAGAGCATTTTTTCATATGACTATAGATGGCTTTAATTTCTTCATCTGAGAACTGCCTGTTCATATCCTTTGACCATTTATCAACTGGGGAAAGACTTGTATTCTTATAAATTTGACTTAATTCTCTACATATTTTAGAAATGAGGCCCTTAAGACTGGTGTAAAAGTTCTTTCCCAATTTTCTACATTCCTTCTAATCTTAGTTGCATTGGCTTTGTTTGTGTAAAACCTTTTCAATTTAATGTAATCAAAGTTATCCATTTTGCTTTTCATAATGTTCTCTATCTCCTGTTTGGTCATGAATTCTTCTGCTCCCTATAAATCTAATAGGTAAACTATTCCTTGCTCTCCCAGTTTGCTTACAATATCTATCTATTTATACCTAAATCATGAACCCATTTTGATTTTATTTTGGTATATGGTATGAGATTTTGATCTATGCCTAGTTCCTGCCATACTCTTTTCCAGTTTTCCCAGCAGTTTTTGTCAAAGAGTGAGTTCTTATCCCAGAAGCTGGGGTCTTTGGGTTTATCAAATAATTGATTACTGAGTTACTTAGGGTGCAGAGCCAAGATGGCGGAGTGAAAGCAGTGACGTGCTTGAGCTCTCCCCCAAGCCCCTTCAAATACCTATAAAAAATGGCTCTAAACAAATTCTAAAGCAGCAGAATCCACAAAAAGACAGAGTGAAACAAACTTCCAGCCCAAGACAACCTGGATGGTTGACCAGGAAGGTATATCACACCAGAAGTGATGAGAAGCACAGTTCAGCTTGAGCACACAGGCCGCAGCGAGCCTGGAGCAGGCCTCAGAGGACTGAATCACGAGCACCTGTGGCAGTTTCCAGACCTCTCAACCCACGAACACCAAAGACAACTTAGAAGGTCAGTGGGAAAAATGTTTCTACAGTGAGAGAGAAGCTAGGTCTCAGCCCCAGTTTCCGAGCACTGCCCTGGGGCAGCGGCTGCTTTCTAAGCTTCTGGCCCACAGACTGAGGGGGATTCTGGTGGCTGATCAGAGGGGGATTGCAGGGATCTCTTTGCCAGTGCTAAGGCAGGAATCTCTTGCTTTGTTCATACTTGGATCTGGGTCATAGTTCTGAGGGATGGTCCTAGGGCAAGGAAGAGGGCTGGCATCATGAGCTTGTAGTGGTGGTACAGAGAAAATCCTCCCCACAGTTCCAAGACAGAAAAGAGTACTTGTGGTCACTCATAGACCACAGCACAGGCCAGGAAAGGAGTAAAAACCTTGCCCCTTATCATACCACCTTGGAAGAACTGAAAATTTACAGGTCCCTAGAAGTATCTCTGAAAACAGCTGTACAAACCCCTGAAGCTTGGGACAGTACATTCTCCACATTGGAAGCAGACCTCTACCTTAATAAAGAGTTTATAACTCAAGTAATTGGCTGGAATCATAAGCAAACCTCGCAAGAAGTGTCAGACCACAGAATCTTTTTTTGGTAACAAAGAAGATCAAAATATACAAACAGAAGAAGACAACAAAGCCAAAGCTCCTACATCCAAAGCCTCCAAGAAAAATATGAATCAGTCCCAGGCCTTGGAAGAGCTCAAAAAGGATTTTGAGAAGCAAGTAAGAGAAGTAGAGGAAAAACTGGGAAGAGAAATGAGAGTGATGCAAGAAAATCATGAAAAACAAGTCAACAGCTTGCTAAAGGAGACCCAAAAAAATACTGAAGAAAATAACACCTTAAAAAATAGCCTAACCCAAATGGCAAAAGAGGTCCAAAAAGCCAATGAGGAGAAGAATGCCCTAAAAAGCAAAATTGGCCAAATGGAAAAGGAAGTCCAAAAGATTACTGAAGAAAATACTTCCTTAAAAATTAGAATAGAGCAATTGGAAGCTAGTGACTTTATGAGAAATCAAGACACTGTAAAACAAATCCAAAAGAATGAAAAATAGAAAACAATGTGAAAAACAACTGACCTGGAAAATAGATCCAGGAGAGAGAATTTAAAAATTATTGGACTATCTGAAAGCCATGATCAAAAAAAGAGCCTAGACATCATCTTTCAAGAAATTATCAAGGAAAACTGCCCTGATATATTAGAACCAGAGGGCAAAATAGAAATTGAAAGAATCCACAGATCTCCTCCTGAAAGAGATCCCCAAAGGAAAACTCCTAGGAATATTGTAGCCAAATTCCAGAGTTCCCAGGTCAAGGAGAAAATATTACAAGCTGCCAGAAAGAAACAATTCAAGTATTGTGGAAACACAATCAGGATAACACAAGATTTAGCAGCTTCTACATTAAAGCACCACAGGGCATGGAATATAATATTTGGAGGGCAAAGGAGATAGGATTACAACCAAGAATCACCTACCCAGCAAAACTGAGTATAATCCTTCAGGGGAAAAAATGGTCATTCAGTGAAATAGAGGACTTTCAAGCATTCTTGATGAAAAGACCAGAGCTGAATAGAAAATTTGACTTTCAAATACAAGACTCAAGTGGAACATGAAGAGGTAAACAGGAAAGAGAAATCATAAGAGACTTATTAAGGTTGAACTGTTTACATTCCTGCATGGAAAGATGATTTATAACTCATGAGACCTTTGTCAGTATTAGGGTAGTTGGAGGAAAAAATTATATGTATATAGATAATATAGATAGATAGATAGATAGATAGATAGATAGATAGATAGATAGATAGATAGATATAGGGCACAGGGTGAGTTGAAGATGAAGGGTATATCTGGAGAATAAAATTAAGGGTGAGAGAGGATTATACTGGAGAAGAGAAGAAAGGGAGAGGTATAAAGGTAAATTATCTCACAAAAAACAAAAAAGAAAAGGCTTTTACAGTGGAGGGGAAACAGGGGAAGGTGAGAGGGAATGAGTGAATCTTATTCTCATAGGATTTGGCTTAAGGAGGGAATAACATACACATTCAATTGGGTATGGAAATCTGTCTTACCCTACAGGAAAATAGGAGGAGAAGGGGACAAGAGAGCAGGGGATGATAGAGAGGAGGGCAGATTGGGAAAGGGGTAATCAGAAGCAAATACTTCTGAGGAGGGACAGGGTCAAAAGAAAGAATAGAATAAATGGGGGGGATAGGATTAAGGGAAATATAGTTCATTTTTCACAACAGGACTACTATGGAAGTGTTTTGCATAACTGCACATGTTTAAGCTATATTGAGTTGCTTGCCTTTTCAATGAGGGTGGGTGCGGACGGAAGGGAGAAAATTTGGAACCCAAAATTTTAAAAACACATGTTTAAAAAAATGTTTTCACATACAACTGGGAAATAAGAAATATAGGAAATGGGGTACAGAAATCTATCCTGCCCTACTGGAAAGTAGAAGAGGAAGGGGATAAGAGAAGGGGGGAGATAGAAGGAGGGCAGACTAGGGGAAAGGATATTTAGAATGCATGCCATCTTGAGGTGGGGGGAAGGGCGAGATGGGGTGAAAATTTGGAACTCAAAATCTTGTGGAAGTAAATGTTGAAAACTAAAAATAAATAAATTTTAAAAAAAGAAAAAAGTGATTACTATAGTCATTGACTACTGTGTCTTGCATATTTAACCTATTCCAATCAGTACACCTTTCTAAGCCCCAGTGTCTTCATCTATAAAATGAGTGGGATAGACTAGATCATCAAAGTCTAAGCTTCTCAGTAGTGATCAGAAATTAACATAAAGCTCAAAATTCTTATGTATGCAGGCCACACAAATTTGCATTTTAGCTTTTTAATGAAAGAGAACATATTGTCAAAAATTTTAAAAAAAAGCAAAGTGGGCCCAAACAATATAGTTTGGCCACAGCAAGAAATTTCAAGCTGTTAGACCTTACTAGTCTAATTCATTGAATGCTAAATATTTTGGTTGTTTTGTTTTTAAATCAATAATTACCTCAAATAAGGTATGGCAAGCAGCAAGCACTAGGCATTATGTTAGACGCCTAGGAAATCAGATGATTTCTAAGGTCCCTTAGAGCTCTAACATTCTATGATGCTATCATCATTCAATAATTATAAAGCTAAAAATGTTTTGATTGGAATAGCAACACATTATCTGCTGAACCTTAATCTTAAATGCAACGGAATTTCTTTATATTTTTCCCTTTGAGGTTATCACCAATACGTTTTGTTTGTGCTTAGCTATCTCTGTGCTAGTCCTTGAGAGCAGGGACTGTTTTGTGGCCTTTCATTACATCGTCAAATGCCAAATTAAATGAGGTAACTGTGTATTAAAACTCCAGACACATATTGAAGCTGAGATTTCACTTTCAACACTGCTTAGTGATGGTCAACTACATATCTGGCACATATTAAATGAACAGTGATTCAGAAAAAGGTGTTATTGGAGAAAATACTTCAAAGCAGTAATTCATTTGCAGGCAAAAAAGGATTTCTCAAAATATCTGATGAAACAAGGGCCTATGACACCTTTCCAATTTTTCAAGAATTCCTCTAGTGGGCCAAATCTCAAATTCTGGAAGGCTGAATCTATGCCAGCTGCTCTTCCAAAAAGCAAAAGAGGCTACAAGGAATAAGCTGAATCAACTTTTTTTCACTGACAAGTATGCTAGAATTCTACCCCAAATTAAAATTTCCCACCTTCTATTGGACAACCCTTAAGAGTATGTGAGGGTGACCAGAAATACCTATTCTTTCACGTAGCAGTACTCATCAGTCTATCATGGGTCAAGCCTGGAGCAATATGTCTTCTCCATCAGCTGGTGAGAGAGGCCTCGTTAGAAATAATCAAGAAAAGCAGAATAGGTTAGTGGATAGAGCTGCCTGAAAGTCCTTTAACTTCTCAGTGCTTCAGGAAACTCTAAAACTATAATTTTGCAAAAGAGCTGCTTACATACATTGAGAGAGCATTGCATCATAGGGAATTCCTTACATTAAAAAAATCACAGGTGTGGCCCAAAAGAAAAAACAACTATCAAAGCCTATTTATTAATTTTACTTTAAAAATCTGTACCCTCATAATACGAAAAATGTTCTCAATCACTATCGATTAGAAAAATGCAAATCAAAACAACTCTGAGGTTCCACCTCACACCTTTCAGATTAGCTAATATGACAGAATAGAAAAATGATAGATGTTGGAGAAGACGTAGGAAAACTGGAACACTAATGCATTTTTTTGGTGGAGTTATGAACTGATCCAATCATTTTGGTGAACAATTTGGAACTATGCCAAAAGGGCTATAAAACTGTGCATACCCTTTTTTCCAGCAATACCACTATAAGTTCTGTATCCCGAAGGGATCACAAAAAAGGGAAAAGGACCCACATGTACAAAAATATTTATAGCAGCTCTTTTTGTGGTGGCAAAGAACTGGAAATTGAGGTGACGACCATCAACTGGGCAATGGCTGAACAAGTTGTGCTATATGAATGTAATGGAATACTATTGTGCTATAAGAAATGATGAACAGGTGGATTTCAGAAAAACCTGGACTTACATGAAATGATGCTGAGTGAAGGGAGCAGAACCAGGAGAACATTATACCACAGCAACAGCAACATTGTGTGACGACTAACTATGACAGACTTAGCTATTCTCAGCAATACAATGATCAAAGACAACTCCAAATGACTTGTGATAGAAAATGCTAACCAGGGGCAGCTAGGTGGTGAAGTGGATAGAGCACCGGCCCTGGATTCAGGAGGACTTGAGTTCAAATCCGGCCTCAGACACATAACACTTACCTGGGCAAGTCACTTAACCCCATTGCCTAGCAAAAAAAAAAAAAAAAAAAAGAAAATGCTAACCATATCCAGAGAAAGAACCATAGAGTCTGAATGCAGATCGAAGCATACTATTTTCACTTTTTTTCTTATTTTTTTTTCCTTTCTCATGGTTTTTTCCTTTTGTTTGGATTCTTCTTTCATAACATGACTAATGTGGAAATATGTTTAGAATGACTGGACATGTATAACCTATATCAGATTGCTTGCTGTCTTGGAGAGTGGGGAATGGAGAGAGGTAGAAAAAATTCAGAATTCAAAATTATACAAAAATGACTGTCAAAAACTATCTTTATATGTAATTGGAAAAAAAAAAGAAAATCCTATTAAAAGGAAAAAAATTTGCAGCCTCAGGTAGGACAGCAAGGTATCCCACTGTCAGAGGAATAGTCTTTTGGCAATTTAAATTACATCAGCAAAACGCAAATGTGGTAAATCTGGTCACCCTATCATTCTTGAGATGAGTTAGGTCACTGCAAACAGAGCAGAAAAAATTTCTTTCAAAGGCTACTACTCTTTTTCCTACATTTTCAAGCCAAAAAATATGACTGTTCAACTAACAGTCCATCCTCCTAAGTGTGGGACATTTCTTTCATATTTCATATTTCTTTCAAATTTCATATGAAATTTTCCCTCCCTATACTTAATGGCCTGCCTCTAGGTTTTTTCCCATGTCACAAGAATGAAAGCCACAGAGCTAAACAGGCCTAAGTATCTGTAAGAAATAAAAACAATTCTACATATTATAAAAATCATTAGGTAGCCATGGCCCAAAACTTTGGGTCACTTAGACTCAAGTGAGGTATAGCCCTTCTCTCTGGATCCCCAACATCCCTATTTCCCTATACCAAGGCATTAAATGCCGTTTGAACAGCTTCTCCTGTACAAAGGACTAACCTTAAAGCACCCTATCACTGAACTGCAACCAAAGTAGGGAGCCAGTTCTAAAAGGAGAAGGAAAGAGAATGTGTTTATTTTTTTCTATTTAAGACATACTTTTGGGGTAGCTAGGTGGCGCAGTGGATAAAGCTCCAGTCTTGGAGTCAGGAGGACCTAAGTTCAAATCTGGCCTCAGACACTTGACACTTACTAGCTGTGTGACCTTGGGCAAGTCACTTAACCCCAATTGCCTCAGCACCTCCCCCCCAAAAAAAGACATACCGTTCTTTAACTCCCTATGAAAAGTACGTAAATGATTTCCATTTCTACTTCAGTATAGAAAAACATGACTTGATATTGTATTTTGATTATATCATGTGAAATTTTATTTTCCCGATATGGAATGAACACACACACATACACACAGAACTGACTAATAATCCACATTCCCAATAACACAGAAGCCTGTATTAGCTTTTTAAAAAGCACTGGATATGGAGTCACAGGGACTGGGTCCCAAACTTGGCTCAGATACTTATGACCTAGGACCTCGTACAAGCCAATTAATCCCTCTAAGTCACAGTTTTCTCATCTGCGCAACTGAATAATATGATTTGTAAGAGTCCTTCCACCTCAGATCTAATTCTAAGCTATTATAAATTCAACGAGATGTTCTGTGAGGCTTGCTCACCTCGAAGAGCCACAGTGCCATCATCAGAAAGTTTGTTTGGATCAAGGAATACCCGGGCTTCATCATCTAAGGAATCCTGTACATATAATACTCGTTGGTTCTGCAGTCCTGTATTATAAAAATGAAAATACCTGAAAGACAGATAAGATCATCATGTAGTTAAGTTTTGTTAATATATCTATATCTAACACACATAAACAAAAAAACCCGCAGCAAAAACTAAATTTTACAAATCACACAGCTCAGGTAGAAATCTACAGTTGCTTACATAGCAGCTTCAATGCTGCTACAATGCCCTACTGCAAACATGTGACAGGTACTCAACATATGTGTAATGACTTATGTTAAAATGAATTGCTCTTTGTCTAACTCTCAGAATCTGGATGCAGACTCTTGTCACCTGGCAAATATTGTTCTAGTCAATTATTTTTCAGGGACAGTTTTATAACTGAAGAAGGATCTCATAGGCCAAAAAGATGTTACTCTCACACTTAAAATTTATAAATGCATGAATTTTTTGTAAAATTCTATTTTTGTAGAACCATCTTTCTATATCTTAGGAAAATAATTTTCAATAACAGAAATAAAATCCCACATACCTTTTTCCTTTCTTGAAGTGGCAGCTATACTTAGGATAGTCATATAATTCAGTCATTCTTTCTTTGTATAAACCTCTAACAGGGCACTGCTCAAGAAAGGGCACTGTAATCTTATTTTGGGCCTCCACAAAAGCCTGGATCAAAAAATAAAATTGGATACAAAACAAGTCAAATACAAAAGTTTCCAATAAGAAATTCCATCCATCAACACAATCAAAGCATTAACAAAAGCTACTTATCTTTTCCTTATAGAGAAACCTATACAAAGAGATGCACACAAACATAAAATAAAGATCAGGAGTAGAATTTATCAGGGAAAAAAAAGCAGGGGTAGTAATTATGATCTCAGACATAGCTAAAGCTAAAATAGATTTAATCAAAAGAGGAAAAATAGGGAAACTACACAATGTCAGCCATATTAATCAATATTGTTTTAGAACATGTGTACACACACACACACACACACACACACACACACACACACACATATATCTGCATTTAGTTGCAGTCTTCTTGGGGAAGGTGGGGAAGAAAGCAGAAAAAAGAATGAAGTAAAAAGTGCCCAGCAAAGAACAAAAGAAAACTAACAAGGAAGAAAAGAAAAGATGAACAGCTCTGAACACAATGTATAGTATTTATTACATAGGCTTTCTTGAAATGAAAATTTATTTATTTTGCTGTATAAAAAGATAATATTCTTTTTTTCCAGATTACAAATACATACACATGTGTTTATGTGTGCGTATATATTCACACACATATTATAGTACAGTAAATATCAAGAACAAAAAAGAAATTGTCATTTTTACCAGTTATTTACATTCACAGGCATCACTCCTGTGTAATGTACAGCATCAGACCACTCACTGGAAATTTAGCATTGGTCCATTGGATATTGATCACAGCTTGTCATTTTCTTGTCACTACAGTCAAAGTTTACAATAATAAGAAAAGTATACACTTCTTTGTTTTAACATTTCTGTTACATCTGATATACTCTGAAAAAGCAAATAAATCACTGACAAGGCTTTACCAAGTACTAAGCCTGGTGAAATTCATGCAGAATAATTTGAAGGCATGGGGAATCCTGTTATGGAATGAAATACTGAAAAAGGAAAATTATAACAAAAATCAGTGCCTTGATTTTAGTTGACCTATATATATTTTACCCTGGGTGAATCAGTATTTCTTTAATGTTAACTAACCCATCATGGGCCACTTCTAGTGCTTCTTAAAGCAATATGATAATGATATAATCTTAAATACACTGTTAACCATAACAACCATGTACTACAGGGGAAAAAAAATACAAAAAACTGGTAAGTGGCACAAACATTGGCTCTAAACATACCATAAAAAATGACCTGAGGATGGAGTGGCACTTTGTCTTACATATTCCTTTTATCTTCTTCTCAAACAAACAAAAACACCACTTTCTATTTGGAAAGATAAGAATTCTTAAGCACCATTTAAAAGTTCACAACAGTCACTCTTTAATACAAATAGCTCTCTGTCCAAATAATACATTAAATATTTTTTTCTAGTCTGCCTATATATTATGATTTGAAGGAACAGGAGATAAACATCCTTTCCCCAAATAAAGTAGCCACTATAGTTTCTTCCATCCTTGTAGTGTCCCTTCTTTAAGTCTTGGAGGCTTTCTATTATTCTTAAAGAGTTCTCCATCACCCCTTCCCTGCCAAAAAGAAATATCTCTGGTGAGGGACTATGTAAATGTAGAGTTGGGGAGTATCTTGTATGAAGAAAAACATTATCAGCTAACTGTTTAGTGGGGATCACTGGGCACCTTACTGAGAGTAAGGCCCTGAGGAATTATCAAAAGCTACACATTTAGCTTGAGCTTTTAGTCCCAAAAGCTAACTTCAACTACTTCAAAATTGTGTCTGAATTGTGTCCTGGGGTGGTTGATTTAACAAAAACAAAAAGGGGATTGAGGTGAGGAGAAAGAGGATAGCATTCCACTTCTAGAGACAGAAGCTGCAATCTATCTACTTATTGTCATATTTGACCAAGCAAACTCCAACCCATGGGTTCAAAACCCACCAATGAAACTACTCAACAGGCCTTTGTCCATTGTAAGAAAAGCCACATGGCTCAGTTTGCCTAATAAGATTTGTAAATATTGTATTGCATAGAAATTATGGATTAATCATGCACTGAACACACATTGTTAATTTATCTTAGGTGACAGATATACATAAAAATCATGCCAAGTTTCACACAGGTAAGACATTAAAATTTATTAAAACTGATACTGAAACATGTCCATTCTATTTGCTGCTAATTTTTGTAGTAGCAATTAATATTAACAGTGTTTTAAAACTTTAGTTTCATCAAAGACACAGATAAATTAGTAACATAGCCATCCTTTTTTTTTGTCAAAATGAAATGGAAATTTATTGCTGTATATTTTGAATCCTCTCATGTTCTGCTGTGCGTATGGCAATGCTGTTTTTCTTTTCTTATTTTGTATTTAAGTTTATAGTGTTTCTTTTTCCTTCCTTATTGTGTATTTAAGTTTTAGTATTTAAGTTTAAAATAAATTAATAAAAAGAAATTCTAATTATTACATTTTTGCTTCCAATGTTTTACCACCACCTTACTCCACACATCTCAGCTAAAATTTTAAGAATGACCATGCCCAGCCCAAATAGCTGCCCAAGAACAACGTTCAATCTCCTAATAATCTCAGATTCCTTTGTAATAAACAGCAGAAGAACCACCAATCCGAATTATTTTCTATGACTTCATAAAGCTGCACGAGGTGATCTACTGGTGTCACCTTTGAGACCTTGGGTTACTTCCTGACTACCTGGAGTAGAGTGCTTCCACAGAAAGCTCTGCACACAATGACACTTCAAATATAATGGATACTTCCTACCTGTGTACCCTTGCCTTCCCCAACTCTTCCCTGGACTTCTAATCTTATTCCTCTTCTCCTACCTGATCATTCCCTCCCTGTCCTCCTGCCCAGCTCCATCCTCTTAGGCAGCAGGACTACAACCTCATCAGCTCACTGAAATGTCAATAGCAGAGCAGTTACTGCAACAAGCATTGCCTTCCAGAAACTAAAGGTAAGTATGTAGGGAGAGTACTAACAACCAGGATGGCAGATGAGAAAATAGACAGAAAGTCTGTGGATATAATATAGCTATAAAATAAAGGTGAGTGTCTGCAAGGATACTGAAGTGATCTAAAAGAATTCATGCATCCCCCAAAATGGTCTGCTTAGTCTGCAGGAATAATTTATAGTCTGGCTGATTATGGTGAAAAAAGATAGGAGAATAAGAGCAGGGAAATGTTTTAAGAAGATAGGATGGGGGGGAATAAAGTTAAAAATTAAGGAACTGAGATTTATGGTCACACAACATTATCTACTTTTCCTTTCATGATTCTGAAAAAGAATTAATATTAAAGTGGGTAGCTTAAATTTCTAAAGCAGACTCCATGCTATAAATGTCAGCATTGAGGTATTTTAAAAGCACACTAAAAGGATTTTGTAAAAAATTCACTACTGAGCCAAATCATGCTTTATGCAACTAGCATCTTTTTAAAAAAGCTATTCACCTTCCAAAATTTAACTCCGAATATCTGAAGTTTCTCATACTCTGAATTAACCAAGTTTGGTTTTCTTCTCCTTTCCTCCCTACCACTCTTTGGTTTGGAATGTTTTGCTGATAGAAAAAATTACTAAAAACCATTGATCTGATCAGAAAGGCCCTATGAGGCATTCCCAAGTTTGATTTAAGCAAAATGTATGCCATTTGAGAGACTTCCTATAACTACAGAGCCAGGTACATCAATTTCTTCATGTGTAAAACAAATGAGAGGAACTAGATAATTACTAAGATTCCTTCCAGCTGTGTTCTATACCTGACAGCCCCTCAAAAGATAAACTAGTGGGGGTAAGTAAGTTGCGCAGTGGACAGAGCACCGGCCCTGAAGTCAGGAGGACCTGAGTTCAAATCTGACCTCTGACCAAACACTTGACATTTACTAACTGTGTGACCCTGGGCAAGTCACTTAACCCCAATTGCCTAAAAAAATTAATAAATTAGATCAAAAAGATAAAAAAGCCTTTCTTTGCTTTAAGGTGATGGACGAATGACCTTTGTTTTCACAAATAATATTGCGTTTACTCTCTCCAGAACAAGTCTTACATAACTGACTCACATTTGGCTCATGAGCATTAGAGTCTTTTCTGCTTGGCAGAATCATAGAACTATCAAATCTGAAAAGGAACCTCCAAGGCCATCTGGTACAACCCCTTCCAAAAGCATGAATCCCATTGACAACATTCCCAACAAGTGGTTTTCCAACCACTTTTTTTTTAAAACAACTTCAAGAACAGGGTAAAAATTAGTACCATCCAAAGGAGCAGATTTTATTTTTAGCCAGCTTTGATTGTTGGAAAGTTTGTCCCCATGCTGAGGCAAAATTTTCTCCCACATAACTTTAATTAAAGAATCATATTTGGAGTTGGAAAGGACCTTAAAGGTCATATAGCTTCCTCCATCCCCCCATCCCTCTTATTGTACAGATGAGAAAACCAAGGCCCAGAGATATTCAATCAACTGACCAAGGTCATACAAGTACTAGAGTAAAAAGTGTTTATTCCATTTTATGCCATGCTCTCTCATAGCATGGAGACTGGCAGTGGGGGCAGGTTATAATGTCCATTTTTGTTCACATGCATCCTGTCTTCAATTTCGTCATTCTTCCCTGTCTTCTCTTTTCAGAATGACTGGCCTAGTCTTAAAAAGAAAGGAAGAAAGAAAGAAGTAAAGAAAAGAAAAAGCCTCTCCCTTGCTCCCATAAGTAGAGGCATTACACTAGATTCCTTTCCTTGTCCTCTTGTCTCACTAAGCTATTTCCACTGGAAATCTTATCTACTCCTGAAGCTTCAACAATTCCCTCAAGAAGAATGATTCCCAATATTCCTCTCTAGCCTTGACAAACCTCGTGAGATTCAAGCATTGTATTTCTAACTACATGATGAATAACTTTATTAGGCTATTCCACCAAAATCCAATTTATAGCTAAAAAACAGTGCTCATCTTCCCTGTAAACCAAACCAAAAGGAGGTCTCTATGACTTATTATCTGTAAATGGC